TGGGGGGATTAGCAGCAAGGGAATCTGGGGATTAAATTTGAGGATTTGTCAGGTGGGATCCATATAGAAAAAGAATTAATGGAGCTCTAAATCCATTTGTGTGCACATATCAAAGTTCAAGGTTAATACATGACAGAATTCTATAATACAAGGTTCTATGTGTAATTAATCATTTAATCCTATTTTTCAATAGATTGTGGACATTTTTAGCCTATTTGAATGGATTATGGGTTAATTACCATATATATTATGAATGAAATCTATATCCTCTCGTCCAATCCAAATATTTAAACTAATTAAGAGTTTACCATATATATTATGAATGAAATCTATATCCTCTCGTCCAATCCAAATATTTAAACTAATTAAGAGTACATATAAAACTAATTAAGAGTACATCCTATAAATAGTTTTATATGTGAAAGTAACATAATTCTGAAAGAGGTAAATTTCACAAACCAATGTTTTGATTGGTTTTGCGGGAAACGTCCAATGTTTTGGTAGGTTTTCTGAAATTTGCTCATTTTGAAATGTCCTTGGCAGTATAAACTCCCTTTTTGTAAAGGTGTTCCTTTATGCTCTATAGTTTTCTATTTTGTTTGACTTTGAGATTTTTTGAATTGAAGGATGTGCTGAATTTGTTTATCCATGAAATTTTGAATCACAATTTGTTCCATGTGTTTAGAAAATATTAAACATACCAAAGTATATACTTACTAATGGAAATCTATCCTTTATAGAACATAGTGTAATAGAAAATATTAAACATACCAAAGTATATACTTACTAATGGAAATCTATCCTTTATAGAACATAGTGTAAGAAGGAAAGGGTGACATTTGACATTAAGAATCTTGATGCACATACTACCAATGTCTATCAGTATTGTCCTTATTGTCTATTAGTGTAGTGGTGACTGCACCTCTAAGACTATACTGATAGGTCTAACCGCACTAGATATCAACCCCCCCAAACCCACATAAGATACTTTATAGAGGGCCCTTTATAGGATTCTATTTTCCTCTATTAACTAGTGTCAAATCAGAACAATGACCGGTGGAAAGTCTAGAAGAAGTAGGAATGGTATAATGTAGAACATAAAAAGAGACAACTTTTACTCTGCTCACTTTGGCACTTTGACGAAAGGGGGGGGGGGGGTTATTGGTTGGGACATTTTGGGGGATAATGGGATAATTTTGGGGATTCTATTTTAAAGTGTTATTCATTGAGACAATGGAACAAGGATAATACTTTTTTGTGTTATTGGTTTTTTAGAACACTAGTGAGACAATTACACCACTTGGGATAAAATTATCACACTCATATACAAAAAATTTGTCCCAATAGTAAAAATTTACCCCATCCTCCATATTTGGACAATATTGTTCCACTTTGAAGGCAATTGGGATAATTTTAAAATATTTTTGTATTACTTAACTAATACATGTTATATTTATATTATAAATATATGACATGATATATAAAATATAACATATATTAATATTTTAATAACATATATTAAATATTATATTTTTGTATAAATAAAATAATGTATTATATTAAATATTATATTATTAAATTATTATATTAAATATATTGATATTATATTATATTAATTATTATATATAGTATAGAATGCTAATATAATATAATATAATACAATATAATAATTAATATTAGTAAATTGTAAGTATAGTACAATATATTATATTTTAATATAAAGTAAAATAATATTTATATTATAATAATATACTAAATAATATACTAAACCAATTGGATAAGTTAATTTAGAAGTAATTAATAGATAAAATTATTTTTTAATAAGGTGCCACATCATCAATTATCCCACATGAATTGTCAAATCAAAGGCTCAAATTATCTCATTATCCCATTTTACCTCACTCAAAATATCCCAAAGGGGTAAAATTGTTCAATTGGAACAGTTTTCCGACTTGACCCCAATTTGTCCCAACCAATAACCCCCCCTAAGAAGATCAATATCGCTTGAACAACAACCCCTCTAGAATGCTTCTGCATGCATATATTGCTAGTGAATTTTCTGATTTTGTTTTCCATATCGTAAATTCATATATGCCGTTTACGTAAATCATTAAACCAATGCTACCCAAACTTATTTTTATTGACATACATTCTAGCGCCTTCTGTTTTATAATGGGATTTGCAGCTTATTATGGGAGTCTACTAGAGATGGATCTTGTGCATGACAATCTAACTGGTCATACTTTCTGGATGTAAGCAGTGCCTTAGGTTTCCGCTTTCGGTAAATATCAAATACTTTCTGGATGACAATCTAACTGGTCATACTTTCGGTAAATTTTGGCTACTACTGGACATGTACATTTCTTGTTATCTAGAGCGGAAACTATTATATTTGTAACATAAGCTATCTGAATCTGATGTTCCCATGAAACAGTATATGCAGTCAAGTTTGTGTTGCTGCTTTTGTCCTCTATATAGAAACTAAAACTTAAACAATATAAATCAATTAAAGGTTTTTGATTAAGGGGATGTTTGGTTCGCATTTAAGGCCCGTGGAAAACTTTAACAACCCCTCCACATCAGTTTTTTCCCTTCCACCTCAGATTTTTCATTTCCACGCTATTTCTTTCTCAGCTTTGTTTCGCTAGGGCCGAAGAGGGAAACGAAGCGGAAAATCACCGCCACCTCAGTTTTTTTCTTCGGCCCCGATTCCCTCCCCTTCCGAGTGAAATCGACGAAAACTTTGCCACATCAGATTTCTGGCTTCGTCGTTGATTTCCTTCAGCCCCTAATAGTTACCTCTCTCCTCCTGCCATAAACTCCCGCTCTCTTCTTTGCCCCTGTAATCGAAGAAATTAGGGGAGTGAGTTTTGATCTTGTGCCACCAATTTATCAGATCTGATCTTTGTCGACGATGTTGCTTCCAAAACCAAGGTAAAAATTTAAAAAAAAAATTATTTTTCGGATTATTAGTTTAATTTAGATCAATTTATCTAAGAGATTGGTGCCCTATTCAGATCTGAGATTAGGGTTAAGTTTAATTTTTAAGACTTTAGAGCGAAAAAAAATTCACAGCAGATCTGAACATGTTTGATAAGAAGTAGTTTATGCCAAATTTGAGATCTGGTAAACAAATTTTGTACCCTGAGTAAAATTTAGGATTTTCAAAAAAAATTAGTTTATGCTTGTTCTTAAAAAAGTTGGTTTTGTGTGCAAATTGTTTAAACAGATCTGAACATGTTAGAGGAAAATTAGTTTATGTCAATTTTAAGATCTGCTAAAACATTGTTTTCACCCAGAGTAATATTTAGGATTTTTTAAAAAATTAGTTTATGGTTGTCGTTTTTTTCACACACAGAGGGGTTGAAAAATTACTTTATGGTTGTCGATTTTGATATCTGAACACGTTGGTTTATTTGTGAAATTCACCTTTTATGACTGATAAATATTGTAATTTTACTTCTTGTTGGTTGAACCATTACTGGTTAAAGAAGTTATGATTGATGTTTTTTTAAATATGAGTAATGGTTCACTTTGATTATTTATTACAGAAATTTCCTATAAACTTGTAAATTTAGAATAAGTTTTGTCCCAATAATGGTTACAAATTTAACGTTTGTTAATTTAGAATTAGTTTTTAAAATTAGTTTATGCTAATACCCAATATGAGTTTTGGATAAAATTGTAATGTTTTTCTAAACATAACTATTGTACATGCGGATATTTCTAACTTCTTATAAAGTTTCACTAAACATTAACACATACTAATGAATTTTTTTGATCTGTTACCTTTGTCATTCATCCTTTAATCATTTTTTTCTACTATAGCTCTTGTATAGTAATCACATCATCCAAAATTAATTACTCTGGTACCATTTAACAAATTATTAAAGCTTCAGGGTAGAATATTCATCAAAAAACTTTATGGTCTATACAAATCTTGTAAAAAAGAGATACCAGATTGACAGAAGTGAAGAACTTAGAATGAACAAGTGGATTTTATAGCTAAGAAACCAAATTTGTGCATAGACCTTCCACCTGAAGACAAAAGGATCAATTTTTTTTAATTATATGATTATTAGATAGTTTTAAAATGTTATTGTAGCGTGTTGTTAATAAGTTTTTCAATTTAGGAGCTAAAAGTTCATATATTTGAGATTTTTAAATGCAAGTTATGTCACTGTAATATTTCTTGCTTAGATATTGTAGTAATCCATGTTAGTATTTTGTAATTATGGTTTCGTTCTGATTTTGTTAGAATTCGACTTAGTTTCTAACTAGATAATGATTTTTTGCATCGTAGATGGATAATGATGGTGATTGTTCTGATGAACAAAGTATCATTAATATGGTACAAGGTGCTGCCCTATCCGTTTTAATTATAATAATTACTATCATAAGGAGAATGCAAGTTAGACGTAAATCAATTCGTAGTGGTCCAGATAAGGAAAAAAAAGACAAGAGAGAGCTAGAATTGAGTACATAGAGCGAATTTATAATGGTTTTAGTGATAGTTGCGTGAATTATATTAGAATGCGGAGTGGTGCTTTTGTTAAACTAGCGAGTATAATAAGGAACAATAGTCTGCTAAAAGACACAAAGAATGTAACGGTGGAAGAACAACTTATCATGACACTGAACATTCTGGGTCATAAATCTAAAAATCGCTGTGTCAGATCTCATTTTATAAGATCAAGGGAGACAGTTAGTAGATATTTCAACAAGGTGTTACAAGCAATTATTTGCCTGCGTGGACGGTACATGAGACAAGCTCCCAATGACATTCCCCAAGAGATCGTTAACAACCCACTATACTACCCTTATTTCAAGGTAAATCTACACTTTAAGCACATTTGTTTGTATAATCAATGTAAGTAAATTTTAATTTAGATGTGTGATATACGTATTATAGGATTGCATTGGAATGATAGATGGGACTCATGTTGATGCAATGCTTCACATTAATCTTGTTGCACGATTTCGAGGCCGCAAATGTGTTACACAAAATGTGCTTGCAGCTTACACCCCAAACATGCTGTTCACATATGTTCTAGAAGGTTGGGAGGGGTCTGCAAATGATTATAGAATTCTTCAGGATGCATTGTCTAGACGACAACCACATGGATTGAGAGTCTATGATGATAATTAAATAAAGACTTAACTTAAAATTTTATAAGTTTAATATTCAAACTTGACTTATCAATTTTCTTATAATAAAATTGTAGGCAAATACTATCTGTGTGATGCTGGGTACCCAACCATGCCAGGTTTTATCTCTCCATACCGAGGTGCTCGATATCATTTGAAAGAACATTAAGGTAAAACACCAAAGAATAAAAGGGAATTATTCAATCTAAGACATTGTTCATTGAGGTTTAAGATTGAATCTGTGTTTGGCACATTGAAGAATCGTTTTAAGATTTTGTGTGCTAAGCCACATTATCCTTTTCCTATACAAGTAGATATCGTATTGGCATGCTCGGTACTCCATAATTTCATTGCAACTATGGATCTAAGTGATGAACTACTCAACAATGATCAATTTAATGAAGACATTGATGGTGAGGTGGCCTTCGAGAATGACACTAATTTAGTTGATTTTATTCAAAATCAAACCCAAAGAGAGCAAATTGAATCAAGAAATGAGTGGAAGACTCTTAGGGATAACATTGCTTGGGCGATGTTGGTGGACTACTGTGATAAGTATCATGGTGTAACCACAGAGACTTGATTTTTATTTATGTTCTATTTATGCTCATATATGTACTAAATAGCTCTATTTCCAGTATTTACATTCTGCTTTAAATCTATGAATTCATGTCGCTATTCTTTCAGTTATCTGACTTTATCTATTTAATTAGTAATGGCTGATAATACATTATTGAGTGGGAGAGATAATCCACTACAGTGCTCGTGTTGGACTATAATCTACTACGTACAGTCCTCGTGTTGAACCTTGAGCTATTTCAGAATTTCATATTTGACATATGACAGATCATTTATGGTATGGTTGGAGATGGAGTCATTACTCCACGTTGTAGTTTGGATTTGATAGTTAGCTATTTACTATATAAGCTTATGGGATTGTGAGTTACCCACGCATATGTTGTAAATTCCTAAATATCAAACTTTCATTTTTATTTCAGAGTTGATGTTTTGACTATCTATATGGGTTGGTTAAGATGTTATTTGCTATAGCGCTTTGACGCTCGTTGTTTCCCCACTTTCAGGTAACGAGCCAGGTGCACGGAGAGCCATAGCTTGATAGAGTTATTCTAGCAGCTATTTATAGATATTATTAGCAGTTTATTGTTAGGACTCCACGATGGTTTTGTTTATGAACATTGAGATGTTATTTCTAGCTTTGTAAAGGCGAGGTGCTTTAAATGTCATTTCATTTGATTTTTTATGTCGAGATATTTGTATTCAGCTCAGATGTTAGTTCTTCTCAAAGATTTATTTATTCATATCAGTGGTGATTATTTTTCTTCAGAGTATCTGTTGTTTAATATTTCTTCGGTATATTCGCTTTTGCCTGTTTTGTACCTACACCCATTATTGATTCTACTAGATAGATATTTATTAAGATGGTGAAACATGTTATTGCACGGTGTAGTGCATGGCAGGTTTGACATTCTTGATTTCACCTCGGACTGCAGCCTTGTTGAAACCAGTAGCGTCACAGAGAGATAATCAAAAAGACAAGGGAGTAGTTCCATCACCTTCCTAACCACCTCAACCCCCTTAGTCGGTGCATCACGGCGATGATGGGTATTTTCCATTGCAGCAGTCGTACTTTGTTCAACCACCTTAAGCATACCCGAATATGTCATTCCATGATAGTAGCTACTTTCCAATACACCATCATCTGGGGTCATATACGAACATGCTGAATAATCTAACTTTGCCTCCACAATTTTACAGTCCTAATCTTAGTGGGGTGCAGCTTTCTCCCACTAGTGGTAATGGTTCAACTCCAGATTCAGGTTCCAAATGAGACCTCGTAGAAGAAGGGGTAGAAACGTCGCCAAATCCAAAGAAGATTAGGACTGTCATGCTCCATTATCATCCACATCTACTCATTTTTCCAATCATATGCTCATTCATCATCTTTAGACAATACTGTTAATCATGATAGTGTTTTTAAAGATTGTACAAGGGTAAGTATTGATAAAGAGAAAAGAAAGCTGATCTATGAAAAAAAAGATGAGGGCAAGCAATTTTTGCACTTTGTATTTCACCTTTCTTTTTGTACCTATGCCCACTGAGAAAATGTCATTTAGTGGCAATTTTTGCACTTTGTATTTCACCTTTCTTTTTGTACCTATGCCCACTGAGAAAATGTCATTTAGTGTAATAGAAATTTTGATGAGCTAATTAATGGAATAAAGTTCTGGTAGATATTGAATAAAGTTCAGGATTATAGTCGACTACTCAGCTTTGAATTTTGATTTACATAACTTTTGTGTTACAGAGTAGTCGACTATAACTAACTATAGTCGACTATTGAGCATTGAAATTTATATTACAGAATATCTGTTTTACAGAGTAGTCGACTACTAAGAATTATAGTCGACTACTCATCTTTAATTTTTAATTTACAGACTTTCTGTTTTACAGAGTAGTCAACTACTGAACATTATAGTTAACTACTAAGACAGTTTTTCTGAACGTTTCAGTTTTGAATTTAAAATAATTTTTAGCCATTTATATCCGTTTAATGAGTTCAAAAATGTGTCTTTTCAAGGGATATAAATAGGTTAGAAGGTTAGAATTTTTGATCACGAAAATATACATATAAGATTAAATTTGTATGAAACTCAAGTGTTAGAAAATCTGATTTTTACTTGAGTATTAAGAAAAACAAAATTCTGCAACAACTATTATTCATCTTCATTTATATAAGATTTTGAAAAGAATTCAGAGAACAAAAGAGTCTATAAGCCACTGTTGCACATCACAAACTTATCAAGGCTTATAGGAGATTTGTACGTTGATTCAAGGAAAGGATTCTCTCAAGTGTGAGAGGTGTAGTCTCTTGGTGAAGAGATTGGTTGCAATTTGCATGGTCTTACAAATTGGTCAGGTTTGAGTTTTGATTTTGTAAGTTTATTCAAAATCATAGTCGAAACTCTCAAGCGGGATTTGCTTGGGGGACTGGATGTACAACTGGAAGGTGGAACCAGTATAAATCCTTGTATTTGTATTGATGATTTTCTGTGATTGTCATTTCTTCTTTGCAATTTATTATCTACTTTGCATAAAATTTTATAAAACACTATTCACCCCCCCCACCCCCTCTGGTGTTTTTAGTGTGATTTGACCAGATCCTACATTTAACAGCCTTTTGAGGCATGAATTGTATGGAATGTTGCAACAGGAGTATCGCCCATTTCTCTAGATGGCAATTTAGTGAAGAGGGTTTCGTCATAAGCACCCTTAAAGGATTCACCTTGTAGATGACATGAATTGATTGTCTGACCAAGTAGTGTCGCATTTTCTAAACGGCGAATACTAAGACAATACACTCTTTTTCTACTAGATTGTACAGGTGTTCAGCTCCGATCATGGTCCTACTAAGATAGTAGATTATCTGCTCATGTCCTTGGTCATTGTTCTGAGCTAACAAAGCTCAAAGAGAATGATTCATGGCTCTCACATATAACATGAATGGTTTTCCTGATATTGGGGCCACAAGGACAGGTGGTTGCATGAGGTATCTCTTGATCTCCTCAAATGCTTTTTGACAGTCTTCATCTCAAACGAATGAGACTCCTTTCTTCATCAACTTGGTGAAGGGCTGGCAGCATCTCGAGAGGTTTGATATGAATCTCCGGACATACGCCAATCTACCTTGCAAGCCTCTGAGCTCTTTGATGTTTCTCGGGGGTGGCATTTCTTGGATAGCACGAACCTTTTCTGTATCGAGAGAAATCCCTTTAGATGTGATTATGAATCCCAGGAATTTACCGCTGGACACCCATGAACAATTTGGTCGGATTCATCTTTAGTTGATGCGCTCATATGATGTCAAACATCATCTTCAAATCTGCAAGATGATCGCCTTTGTTTTGGCTCTTTACTGCAATATCATCCATGTAACACTCTATCTTTTTGCGTAGATGTTAGTGGAAGATTGTATTCATGGCACGCTGATAGGTTGCACCAACGTTCTTCGGTCCGAAGGGCATTACCGTATAATAGTACACCCCCAGTGGTGTTCTAAAAGCGGTGTGTTTTTCATCTTCAGGGTACATTTTAATCTGGTTATATCTTAAAAACCCATCCATAAAAGATATCCTCTCATACCCACAAGTATTGTCGATCATGACATCTATGATGGGGAGTGGAAATTCATCCTTCGGATATGCAGCGTTTAGGTCATGAAAGTTAATGCAAATTCGGATCTTGCCATTTTTCTTAGGCACAGGAATGATGTTAGCCACCCAGTCAGGATGTTGTTCCTCCCTGATGAAGCCCGAGTCGATAAGCTTTTTAAATTTTGACTCAATTGCCTCCATGATCTCTAGACGGAACCGACGTTGGTGTTGCTTAACTGGCTTCACATGCGGATTAATGTTAAGACGATGCATGGCTACTTTAGGATCAAGACCGGGCATGTCTTTATAATTTCAAGCGAAGACATCTATATATTCTCTGATGAGAGATATGAGGTCGTCTTTCTCGGATGGAGATAAACTCTCACTTATGAAGATTGGCTTGGAATGGATTTTATCTCCCATGTTGACTTGAATTACCTTATCTTCTGTGGGCGGCTCACATTGTTCGAAGCGCATGTCCCATAAAATGTTAAGGCATTTGATCCAAGGGTCGTTGGTTGATTCAATCAACTTTTCATCATCCTCATCTTCATCTTCATCTGGATGACTAGCCGAAGTCATGTTCACAGACATGTTTTTAAAGAATGTTCTGATGCTCATATCGGATTCCCATGATGATGTTCCAGATGAATGGTATTGCCATAGACAACCATCGACTTTATTTTCTAAAAAGAGAGGGCTTGAAACATACCTAACCCTCTTCCAGTTTTATGATAATAATCAGGAGGTTTTCCTTCTGGAGTAAAAGATCGGATTGGTGCTCGTCTTTATTTCCCTAAGTTTAAACCTTCATGTTTATCAAAGTCATAACCCATTCTTCTCATCAGATGAATAGAATTGGGTTCATAATAATAAAATTGTGGGATTCCAAAATCTTCATCTGAACTTTCCCGCTTAGGTAACTCAGAGTTAACTTTACGGAAATAGATTGACTTTTGGCCTTTCTTTTTAGATGGGACCATGAAGAAGGCTTTCTGTACATCTTCCCTCTCTTTGAATGTAGCGAAGGATGATTTGAGCAGCAAATCGAGTGATGCCTCAGCAAACAGTGTATGCCAAGGTTCTATACCTGCATCTGTATCAGTCTCTGTCTTCGCACATTCAGAGGACACATCAGACAAGTAAGTCAAATTAAAATCTTCATTAACGTACCACTCACCCTCACTCGGTACATCATTATTATTTAGCTCATTCTGGCTCATTACATTCAGATCTAACTTCCACGGACACTATTCCTCGGGCTCGAGCTCGATGTTCGCTTCGTTACCACTATCGGCGGCTTCCTTCGGCTGCTCTGGCTCCTAGGAGTACAAATAGAAGACTGAGTCGATATGAAAATTCTCCACACCTCTGAAAGGTTGCTTTTTTGCGATCAGGGTTTTGACTTTTC